ATTAACTAATTTTGTTGCATTTATATGCACTAAATGATTATTAATTCATGTTGTATGTTTAAAGGTTGCATGTTGTCAAGAGCTCAGTGATGTAAATGTAACTAAGCTGCAGTAACAGACATTTCAGCATTACAGCATTTATCCCACTATGAAAGATGAAGTCACACCCCACCTACCGCATACTGCTGCACTACATCAAGCTAATGCATAATGATAATAATGATCCTGCAATTATTTCAATTTTAATTTGATTATTTATAGATTTTTTTCATAGTAAGAATATTTTAAAAAATGGTGGTTAACATGTTGGTTTATAGCTCACAAATATTTGCATTTCTATCTGTTGCTTTTGGACATTCCACAAATTGGCCAACTCATTCTGATGATTGTAAACCAATAACCGATCATTTTTTATCACATTCATCTTGCTGATTGAGCTTCTTAATGCTCTCATTTGTTTGTACAAGTCTGTTCGCTGATTAAGTCAACCTTGGCCTCGGCTGGTCCCTTTCCAATGCCTCAGTCTCATCCCGGAGGTCCATGATACCCTGATAGTCTCAGCTGGAGACAGACCAAAGCTTTCAATCTTATTACAACACTACCATCTTCCCAGCTCCAATCACGGTTTAATTAAAGTAGTCAGCCATGGAACAAGCGTCCAACGAGGACAAGTGAATTAGTACTCACGTCTGGCCCAAGAGGTGGAAGATTTGTGTTTTTTTAATTTGTGTTAGTTATTAAGCTTGGTCTCTCAGATGTTTCAGTGAGACTACAATAGGTGATTTACAGCATTTACATCCACAGGTTATTATTCAGTGGACAAGAATTTGAATACAATGGAAATGGTAAGACTAGAGTTCATGTATTCCTATGTGACAGGTGTCTGCTAAACCTTAAAACAAAATGATTTGAGCAGAAACAATTCCTGTTTGTAGGAAATCTGGTTATACATTTAATATCTTGCAGAAAATGAAACGAGTCCAAGGAGGCACACAGTTTCACTATCCTGCAGAGGGGTGATGCTGTTGTTGGCAAAAGCAATGACTGACAGTGCAGGGGTATGTAAGGTTTCATATCTATCAGTGTAAAACTGGGTGTAATCTTAGACACACAATGCAATTTCAAAAAGGCCACTGAGACAATCAGAAGAATCACAAACACATTTTACAAGCTAGGAAGCGGGATATTAAGTACACAATTCTCTGGGTATTCATCATAATATTATAAAGCTGGATTAGATCCCACTAGGATCAGATTAAACTCGCAGCTTAAACTGCAACATACTGTATGTTAAAGTGTTTAAAACAAATTTCCATACGAGGATGGAAATCTTACTATTGATCTGTTCATATTCAATATGTGTGACTTTTTTTTTTACTTAAACATGATTAGATGTGTAAAGAAGAGTCAAATAAAATCTCTGAATAATTCGTTTTTACCCCGCTCACCAATTCTCCTCTGGCTGAATTATCGGACAGATTTGGAGGCAGGATGATGCCGTGAATTAATCATGAGGTTTGGACAAACCCAAACAAAGGTTTACTCCCAGATGAATGTGTTCCTCCGTGATCCACAGTCTCCACCCGCGAAAGTTATTTGTGTTGTATTTATTCTCTGACATGTGAATGTGCCATCTGTGATTTCCACTTGTTCAATATCAGTATTACTTTAAGCCATAAATCTTATGCAACATTTTTCTCTAGCAGTACCCCTCCGTGTCCCATTAACTGTGTAGTTACACAAGCGTTGTGTAGTAGAAACAGTTGGCATGCCAGCTAATCCAATCCAACACTAACCCAGCTGAGAGAGAAAATGAGCAAAAAATTAAGGGATGTCTGTTTCAATTATGATAACATTTGGATCATTGCATAATAATCCACTACCAAGCATGCAAAATATCTGAGCTATTGTCCTCTAGTGATATACACAGCCAGCTGTGAGATTTTGTGTTTTGTTTTTTTGTATTGACAGGAAAAGACTGGCTGCGTGGGTTCAGCAATGCCACGTTGTGTAAAAAAGTACAGTTTCAGGTGATACGAAATGCTTCTGACAACCACACTTAATTGGACAGCAGGCTCAGGCAGTAGAGCAAGAGGTCTGTCACTTGGAGGGTTGTTGGTTCAAGCCCTGGCTCCTCTAGTCTATGTGCCAAAATGGCTCATAGCACAAAGTATTGTGTGCCTGTAGAAAGCGTAGTTAGAGTGCTATCTAAGTAACTGTCCAATAAATTCTTTAAAAATATCAAGCAAGTTTATTTAGAATTAAAAAAAGGTTAAAAATGTATTTTTCCTTCAGCAAAACAAACATTTTTTCATTAGAGTATATTCTGTTCAGAAAATGTTTGCATTCAAAACCTGGATGGATCCACGGATTCATGTTGTTTACACCAAATTCTGACTCTACCATCTGAATGTCATTAGAAATTTAGACTGCTTAAATCAAGTAACATTTTTCCAAACTTCTTTTGTATGAATTGGTGACCCTTTAGTGGTGTTCTGCTGCTGTAGCCCACCTGCTTCAAGATTTGATGTGTTGTTCTTAGAGAGCTGCTCTTCCTGTTTATTGACTTGAATCAACCATTCTCCTCTGACCTCTGGCTCCAACAAGACATGTTTGCCCAGAGAACAGGTGCTCACTGTGTGTATTTTGGGTTATTAATATAAGCACCTTCATGTATAAGTCCAGTTTTTCTAGTTTGTTTTTTAAAGTTAGAGGTACTTTAATTGATTTATATTCTTTTGGGTAGTCAACAGGGGCTTTGTTTAGGCTACTGGGTTAACATGCTCAAGTGCAGGACTGAGCAGCAGCAGGTTGAAAACTATATCTAAAGCCAAGTCCAAGAGAGAATCCCGAGTAGGAAGAACAAATCAAAAGCCGAAAAGCGAATCAGAGAAAGTAAAGAACACAAGGAGATTAAAACAGATGGAAAGGACTATTCGTACACACAGGGTAATCACGGAAGTGGAGACAACTTGGGGATATGAGACACAGGTACAGGCCAAAAAAAACCCCCCAAAAAAACAAACAAACAATATTTAAGTTAGATACTGGAGACAAATTTCAAAGTAAAACAGAAAATACCAACAAAAAAACATCCCCCAAAAAATAGAAAGACAAGAGAACGTACACTGAATGCAACACAGAGGCACGCTGCCTTGATAACCTTCTAATGTGACCATTTCTGAACAGTAACAGTAGCAGTTTAGTAACTTTAACCTAAACCATGATTTCTCATGAATCTAATAAAACTGTATTACCAGTTAATACCATCAGAAGCCTGTTTTATATTATGTTCATGGTAATTAATGATCCTGGTATAGTGAACAATGCAACTGGGGACTGGAGCCATGTGAAAATAGCTTTAATGCATTTATAGCATGACCAGTGTATAATGGCCAGTGTCTCATAACCAGTCATTCTTATACTTACAGGAGTACCTTTTTTTCCTAACAGTTCTGCACCCGGTCAAAAATGTACATAAATGGACACACACACACACGTACACATATGTACACAGTACCTGAGTATAAATATGAAAATAAATGGATGTATTTGTTTGCCCATCTGTATGTGTGTGTTTATTCTGAAATATCTCTCATTCTTAGACCTATTGATAGTGTGGAAATTAAGAAAATCTCATTTCATGCTGTGAGTCTGACATGAAAATCACAGCACTAGATTTTCCCATGCATAAGGCAAAATTTCATCCTTCACAAAATATCCTGACTCTTAGCAGTAATGTCTAAATAGCGTTTCCATGGCAGATGGTTTGTGTGACAGGCTGACCTGCAATTATGCCATTAAGGGGGAAGCCACTCCCTGTGCTCTCTCACTCTTTCTGCTTCTCTTCATCCACACTCCCAAGCGAGCAACCTATAAAACCACAACTACTCACTATTTCCTTTTATTAATGAATAACCCAAATATTCTTTTGATCAATTATTTAATGATTCGGTCTTAACAATGTCAGAAAAAGTGACAAAACATGAACATTTTCCAAACTTGATAGCTTGCTTTGCAAATAATAAAGAAATGTATCATAAATTTGGATGTAAAAACAAACAAACAAACAAACAAACAAACAAACAAACAAAACCTAATTCCGATTAGAGTACGATTAGCTGATCAGAATTCATTTTAATTGGTTGGCTGCTTCTGTAGTTTCTGTATTGCTCCATCTACTGTCTACAGCCTCCAGTCTTTACAATCCTTCACAAAAATTATTTCTGCACTTTATTCTATTATTTTCCCACTGCAATGTAATTCCAGAACTCAGACTCACATCCTTTCTTTGGTCCATCTTCTTTCTTGTCTATTCCTCATCCCATCTTTACCTGCAATCCTTGAGATTTATTCTGGATAGAGACCTAATTCTAGGAGAGCGAACCACGGTTCGCATAATTAGAGAAAACACCTTTTGGAAACAGCATGAGTGGAACAGTTGGCCATCCCTTAATTTGCACAATATGTCAGAATGCGCTCATTAATTCAGACGTTACCTAATTCACTACAGAATTCTCCTACATAGAGCAGATCATCTCTTTGTGGAGCATATAAAAGCTCTGGTTTCTACGCAGCCTGTACGTCAAGTTTTTAAATAAAGCAAACTGCAGCAGGTAGTTACAGGAAATGTTGGATCAAGTTCTGCAACACCTTAAAAACTGCGATATCCACAAGATGTTTAACTTGTATTTTAATGTGGCCGGTGGCACCTACTTTACAATCTGTTTCATCCAGTTGGCTTCTACTGTAACTTCTCAGCAGGAAGCAAACGAGGTGCCAGGCGAACCACAGGAAGCACCTAATCTATATCGGTTTATTAAGAAATAAAATAATAAAACCAGCCCTCATTAACTTGTCATACGTGTGTTTTTTCTTCTACAGCAGCGGCTTCCCCCTGCCGTGTGTGAAACTGTTGGCAAAGGAGGGGACTGGAGACGGAGGTGGGGGGTATCGTCAGCCACATTATGTAAATAAGGTGCAAGAGCATGTGCCAGTTAAACCGCAGTGTCGTGCGAAGTGAGATGAGGCACAGGCTTTGGACGGCAGAAGCCGGGGGCCGTCGGTAGATGGCGGTAACCCAAGAAACCTGATCCACCGGGTTCTCGGCCACTCTGTCTCAGTTTGCAGCACTCGCGTTGAAGGCAGAGGAGCCGAACAGTTTGAAGGACATCAAAAGAAACAGGAGAGCTCGCGGCGCGTCCTCTCGCTCCCCCCCCCTCTCTCTCTCGAGACGGAACGCGTAGTCTCAGAGAGAAAACAGAAGAAAACCCCCCCAAAAACAGAAAACGGGAAAACTAAGAGCGCCATGGAAGACAAATCGAATTCGTTCTCCAGCAACAAGGAGGAGAAGGCGGATGGGAATAATGTTTTTCAGAGGCAAGACTCGATACAGAAAAATAACACGGGGAGCCAGAACATGAAGGACCATGGCAACTCAGTGGGCTTCAAGGGGGAGCGGGAAGAGACCATGGTTGGTTTTGATGATCTGGAGGGGGCGTCCAGGCAATATGGTTTTATGCAGAGGCAATTTGGGGCCATGATGCAGCCCGGAGTCAATAAGTTCTCCTTGCGTATGTTCGGCAGCCAGAAAGCTGTGGAGAAAGAGCAAGAAAGGGTTCAGACGGCCGGATACTGGATCATTCATCCATATAGCGATTTTAGGTAAGGGCTGGAATAGACACCTGCTCAAACCCCCCTCCCCCTCCCCTTTATTTTATCCACCCTCACTGTCACCCTAAGGTCTGCAAGCTATAGCCTCCACTTGTTATCGCCACTCTCTCACACACAACCTGGCCCAAAGCGCATACGCTAATCTACCTCTGTATTTAGGCAATCAGGCTTCCGCTGTAGGGGAGGCGAGGAGGGCTTCTGTCAAAATGTGCTCAGTGTGTGTGTGTCTGTGTGTTTCATTGCGGTATTTTTAGTGTTATTATTATTATAAGAGAAAAGGGAGGGACGCATTAAGGCTAAAGGTGTATCAGTGAAACGTCCTTGGATAAAGGATGGTGAATGTCATGATTGGAGAACACACACAGAGCTCAGCCCTCCTGACTGCTTCACACCAGCGGCGCAGTGGCAGCTTCTCATTGCGACACATTCCCTGCTCGTATAGGGGCGACCGTACCTGGACACAACGTGACAGTGCCATTGCACCATCGGCGGTTGTAAACATTTCTTTGTAGGCGGATGTGAGCCGATGGGCCTGCGTGCATAAAGGGAAAAAATGCACAGAATGCGGTAAAATCGTGCAGGGAGACGATTAAGGAGAAGATGGCCGTGTTTTGAATTAATTAGTAACAAAAAAATCTGATCTTCGAGTCTTATCAGAGAGTTTTTACATGCTTTTTTAAAAAAAACTGACTTGAATGAGGAAATGTGATGGAATGTGTTTGTTTCAAAGGAACCGCAGAAGGATCGTGCCACACTTCCTTCCTCGGCACCCACTAAATGTCATAGTGGTTGATCATTTGGATTTGGTCTTTGGTTTGTGTAATTTATTTATTTCTCCTCTCAGCTGCACCAGCTCTCTGGCTTTATTGCAGCAGAGAGTTTGAGTTTCAGACCAGCTGCCTCCAATTTGCTTACATTTCCATACACAGTAAACAAATGAATCCAGGTAAAGGCGGTACGTGCTCACCCCCCCTCTCTCTCACACACACACACACACACACACACACACACACACACACACACACACACACACACACACACACACACGAGCTGCGTGTTTACAGTTTACCTCTTCACCAATTAAGCATCTCATTTGGTCCAGCCTCTGCACCAGTGTCACCTGGCACAGCTTGGTGGTGAATATCATCCCCGTTTTCCGTTGTCGCAACACGTAACGTGTCGGGGCACGTTGTCGCGCCCCCCCCCCCCCCCCTCGGCTCCCAGTGCCTTGAGCTTAGAGCTGTCCATGGTCCTGAACTTAGAGCAGGCTGCAAAAATGCAGCGCTCCCTTTTTCTGCAAGGCTTTCTTTTGCTGCTGGTTTTTTTTTATGGCAGGTGATTTCTTATTAAAAAAGGTTACATTTCCTGCTGGCTTATTTGCTACATACATTTGTTGTGATTAATGAGATACCACATGGTACTCACGGTAGCGCTAAACTCTATAAATCTTCATGCCCCACCCCTTGCAAGATCCCCCCCGCCCTTCCATGCATAAGAATAAAGATAACTAGGCTATCATAGCCTCAGCCACACAAAGACACTGGTATGCGTTTGCCCCTCTGCAGACACAGATGGACAATGATGGTAGGCAAGGATTAGCACAACACAACAGTCAACGAGCTTAACAGACTCAATTATGTAAGAAGATTGACCCCCTCCAAAAGATAGCCAAAGGGTATGACCAGAGCAGTTCAGTGAAATGGATACCTGTTCCACAGCTGTTAGTGAGTCAAGAGATTAATTAGTGGTCCCAAAGTGAATGGGCTGCATTTGTTATATTTGAGGAATTTCAAAAAATACAGTGGGGATTACAATGAAAATCAGCAGGAAAAAAAGGCTCTGTAATGAGAACATATGTGTGATTGCTCAAGCAGACTGGGCCTTCTTCTTTCTGCACTATTAGAAAATGTTTGTCTCACTCACACTGGCAGAGCCCCCCTAAGGTTACTTCCTCATGACATTTTCCAGAGGGCTGTTTTTCAGAAGACGCTCTTGTCCTCCAGACAGTGCAATGAAACGACCCCCTTCTAGGCCGCTGAGACCGCCTCCTGGCTTGAAAGTGCTACCTTGAGGTTTTCATCCCAGTTTGTGCCCAGTTTGTGGTGGAAGAGACAAGGCTGCTTCTTTGTTGCACGTGGCTCCATGTACTATTTCTTGGAAGCAAATCTTCCTCTCTCATTTTTTTCTTCTTTTTGCTAAGAAGTCTTCGTCACTTGTTCGTTAATCTTATACTGTTACATACTCTCATCTTAATGTTATGTGAGCAAAAACAAAAGACACAAAACACTATCTTTAATGAAAAGCATTACGTAAGTACAGACCATGAATGACACCAAGCATTCACACGGGCTTTATATTGCTTTGTCAAGGGTTGAAACTCAATATTCAACATATTCTTTGTACACAGTCGCTGCTTAAAGATTTATGGCAGGTTAGTAATATTCATTATTAATAGATTTTTGAGAGGGCCCGTGCACGGCCTCGCGCACCTCTGGTTTTGCTAAAGGTGGCTTTGTCATGCTCCATATGCTGTTGTTCAAAGACGTTGTGCAGGTTTTAAGCCTTTTCAAAGTAAATTCTCATGTTGCAGTTCTTTTAATTAACAGAATGAATTGTAGAGTCAACTGTGTTTCTTTCAGATAGTCTATACTCTAAAACCTGCATTCTTCTGAGTGGTTAGAGGCAGAAATTTTACAATGTAGCTTTACTACCCCTAATTTATTTATTCCTAATTTAACAGCCTTATTAAAAAGAAGAAAGAGGCGAGTAAAGCTAGTTTAGAGTATTTAATCAAGCTTGAACAAATCTTTTCCCACATGTTCTGTTTTACTCATCTCGACATTCGTAGATGACTCTGACATCCTTTTTTTTTAACCCAAAGTCTTTGTTTTTCTCTCTGTCTGAGGATGTGCCATGCTGTAGCGCAGTGTACCTGCTACACTGTAGACTGGTTGTGCTGAGTAGGATCCTGTGGACTTCATTGTGTTGCTTGGCAGGAGTGGGTCTGGCATTGATCATGATGGATCACTTGTTGTAAGAAGGAAACCTACAAGACAAAATGTGCTGGCTTGATTCGAGGAAGATTTTTTTTAACTTTCTTGTGATTAATCTGCCTCAGCTGGATTATTAGAGGCTCACTGCTTCCCCCTTTGGGGTTCTGTAGCTTCCAGCTCTTGTTATAAGTGGAACATATTGTCTCAAAGTATTTTTTCAGCGATACACTCAAATCGCATACGCTTTTTTGCTAGTTCATGCTGCGTGAATACATTTGGCAGAGTGACCAGAGCGCCACAGTTTCTCCGTTGCTGCAGATCTTACAGTGTTTGGGAAATGTCTCCCATTTTAAACAGTCACAACAGCAGCGTGTTATAGCATTCAGACCAAGCTTTTTAAAATTGATTGTAAACTCGGGATAAAAGATGATTAGCAGAGTACACATTTCATCTGGATGTGAATCCATAGCTGGGACGGGACTTGAGTGCTGAAATGGGCTGGAAGGGGAGGCTGTACTCCGACAGCACCGGGTGAATGTGGAAGTAGAGTACTTTAGCTGGAATCCATTGCTAGTGTTGGTGCCGCAGTTACAGTTAAGTGCACTGCACTCCGTTACTGGTTTAGCTGCGGTGCTTTCTTAGAAGTGGCACATTAGACCAAAAGCTTAAGCTTAATGCAGTATCAGAGCTGCCTCTGTGACTAGGTCAGTAAAACCAAAAGGAGCACACCTGCGTTGGTGTTACCATAAATAAAAAAATGATTTTAGCATTTAAACTTCCAAATTAGTATTTTCATTATTTCAGTCTGATAACTTAACTTAAAATGAGTACTTTATTACAGAAGCAGAATACAGTTAGACTATGGTACCTTTGAAGTTACATACTCTGTTGTTTTTGACTTTGGTATGTGATGAGTTACATGTAAACTCTAGTAGCATTGGGGTTTCACTCCATTTGACAGATTTCTTGTATTCTTCTGATGACGAATATTTCAAGGTTGCTTAATGCTTCTTTTATTTGAGAAGTGAAGCACAATGTTTAATTCAACAGATATGTGGGTGTCTTAGAGGTCATGTACAGTATAAATACCACCCACAAAAGTCACAATAGAAATATAAATATGTTAGAGATGTGGGAACTCTGTCAACATGAGTGGAAAACATCCAAATTCAAAAAGTGATTCAACTTAAATTCTGATATTAAAATCTGTTTGCTGAAAGCAGGAAAATAAAACATCTTAGTTCACAGGGACTAGTTTTTTTTAATCTCCAAATTAACAGACTGTACATCTTGAACTCACATTTTTGTGTATTATTTATTATTTAACTATTTTTGCTCTACCGTTGTTCTCTTTTTTTTTTTTTAGCTATAAATGTTTGTGTTCATTGATATTATACAATCCTTGATCCCCTTAGATTAAAGTTGAAAAAGATTAGTCATGGCAGCCTCTTCTTTAACACTGAAATACAGTATAAACAATTACAAGAAAAAAAAGTCACACACAACATGACGTATCAGGTCAATAAGCATCAGCTTATTGAAAGGTTGATACAATGACACACGTGCTAAAAAGCGTATAAAAGCACAGCTTTTGTATGTTTTTTTTAAATGCTCTTATTACTCATAATGCTATAGCTCGGTTCTAGTGCGCATTGTACTTGTTGCGTAACTTTGTTGTTATTGTGCTGACCTGAGAGGACTCAGTTTGCATCATGGTTTAGCATGAACTCAACGAGCTCAGCAGTTCAATATCTGCTGGGGTAAAAATACCTATTGTGGACCTTATCAGCCACCTCAATGTTTAGTTGAAGTGAAGACAGTTATCAGACATGTGATCTGTGGGTATTTATAAAGCCAAGGCCTCGGCTTAATTTATTGAAACAGATCCATTACTGGGTGGCAAGTCTGCCAGACAGGCATCCGGCCAGCCAGTTCATTTCTACCTTCAACAACAACGTGATGGTCAGCAAGGCAGAGCAGAGGCAGGCAGGCACGGAGCGGGGATAACGTCAGTGGAGAGTTTTTAGAGTGAGATAGGATTGCTGAAAGCATCTATTTTCATTCATGGTTGTCTGGCCTTTACTCAGGGCCCAGAACACTTTGTGAAAAGAGCAGGGTGCTGATGAATTACTTCTGGCTCTGTTCATCGAAAGGCAGAGGGCAGAGACATTAACACAGCCAGGAAGGATGGAGAGGGTCTCAGTCTAAAGGGCCCTGAATACATATAGTAAGTGATAGCAGTACATTACTGGATGTCCTTGAATCGTAATTAACTTTGAGCCCGAGAGTTTTGGTACGAACTCAAGTATATACTTCTCGGAGCGAGATCTTAAGCTTGCATGTATGTGCCTTTCCAGATCTGAGCTGAAAGATTATCTAATATTGTCGGCTGTTTAGATGTTGCATGTTATCTGCTGATAGCAGAAGTGGCAACGTAAGATCTTTCAGGCTGTGTACCTTTGCAGGCTGAAGCACTGGATAGGCTGCAGTGAAGAGTTTCATAGGCAGTGACTGATGTCAGAAGGTGACTACTACTGACTTTTATAATCCCCTTACCTCTCTGCTTCCCACATGAAGTTGGAGTTGGAGCAAACTGGCGTTATAGCTATCGTAATGAAACTTGTTTCACACTTTCCCTCAGAGTGAATTGAGTTATCGCTGATACGTAACCTTTTAAATGTTCTAATAAAAGAACGGGATGTAGCTTCGTGCTCTTGAAGCGTATCTTATTTGTAGGCAGCAGAGTATTTGAGCAAGTTCAGATTGAATAAGAGGCCCAGCTAATGTTAGAAAGTCATGTGACCTGACACGGTAAATACCGTATTTAAATGTCAGAAGAGAGCAGAGTGATCGGGCATTTTTTTAAGCAGAGCTTTATAAATCAACATTGTGCAGTGCTCCTCTTTTCTGGGACTGTTCTTCCTTTTCATAAGACATGCAGTGACAGAGTGAACAGTCACCTCTGACCGTATGCAGTGCACTGGGATAAACAGAATTATACATATAAACAATATCAGCAGAATAAGCAGAAAAGAAGCATGATTTCTTTTCCCCTGTGGACTTCAGTTTTGTGGCTACAGCATGTTTTATCGCTTGCATTACTCATTTGTTTCGGTTTTTCCACAGGTTCTACTGGGACTTGATAATGCTCATCATGATGATGGGGAATCTAATCATCATTCCTGTGGGAATAACCTTCTTCTCAGAGCAGACTACCACCACCTGGCTGGTCTTCAACGTGGCTTCGGACACCATCTTCCTGGTGGACCTGGTCATGAACTTCAGAACGGGGATCGTCAATGAGGAGAGCTCAGAGATCATCCTAGATCCCAAAGTCATCAAGATGAATTACCTGAAGAGCTGGTTCGTCGTGGACTTCCTTTCCTCCATTCCAGTGGATTATATATTTTTGATAGTGGAGAAAGGCTTTGACTCAGAGGTATATAAAACAGCTCGCGCCCTGCGAATCGTCCGCTTCACCAAGATCCTCAGTCTTCTGCGTCTGCTAAGACTGTCCCGACTCATCAGATACATACATCAGTGGGAGGAGGTGCGTATATATTTGTCTTTGTCACATAAATTAACAAAGTTGTGCGGTCTTTTACTGTGATTGGGTGGGGTCCTTGCTTGGGAGTTATCTACTTATCTGTAGGTAACTAGTGTAATCAGTTTCAGTTCACTGATGTGTGAAATTAATTTGAAATGTGAAATCAGAGCAGATGCTTTTATTAGGAGAAAAATACAGCACGTCAAGCAGGTAAGGAAATCCCAAACAGCTGATTCTGTTCATCTGGACGTAGCGTTTTCAGAGGTAAAGCCTGACCAGAGACTGGAGAAGTTGGATGAGTGATGAAACGTTTCGCCACTGAAATCACTACGTCCAGATGAACAGAATCAACATTTTGGGAACACATTTAACAGTTTACCATTCCAGTGGTCTCCAGTGTAAAAAGATGAATCTGAGGCGTAGTGAGCAACCTTCTTAATAGTTTAACTGTAGTGGATTTTGTGTAAATATCACAAGGTTATACCCAAAGGACATAACAGAGAGTGATGCATTACTTACCCACTATTGAGTCACTGCATGTCTCAGACTTTTTCCAACCTGAATCCAGTGTTCTCATCCTTCTCCTAAGGACTAAGTAACTACACGTCATCGTGACCCTGTCATTTCAGCTAGTGGATCCAGTTTAGATATCACGGCCAAAGTCATTACTGTGTGTACGATTTCGTAGTTAAAATGTAAATAGGTGAACATAACGCTGTCATTTTTAATCAGCTTGACTCCCTCTTATTTTAAATGTCCTTGCAGCAAAGCGTCAGGGACACGTTCCTCCCTTATTGTTACACGTGCTGTTAGCCATGCTGTTTTAGATTGTTTGATATGCACGGAGTGGATTAAAAATATATCAGCAGCAAGAGGACTGCAACAAGGCATAATGTGCTATGTGCATGGACTGTATGTAAAAGATGGATGCAGCCTCCAGGTTTGAAAAGTGGAGTAAATTTGTATGAAGGTATACGGGAAGGTTGTAGAGAGCAGATGACGCTGCTTGTTCATGTGTCATTTAACAGTTCGGTAAGCACATTCTTAATTAATCTAGTGTCTCATTTGCTAGCTTCAGCCCATCTTTATTATACAATATTGTATATAAGAAAGTGAAAAAAACAGGAACTTTTGTGTTATTAATTACTTTGGTGTAGTATCTATATCCATGGGGGAGGTCTTTATCTGAGGGAAAGCTGTAAAACTAATGAATGAATACAGTTAGAAGTCCAAAATTGATCCTGCCCTTCACATTTCCAAAGCTTTCCAGTGGGCCGGATTAGAGTCTTTGCGCGTCCAATTCTGGCCCGCAGGCTATATATTTTACACCCCTGCTATAAACCAATCGATGACATCACGGTGGCCACATCTGGCTTTTATATAAAAGCTGCTGTTGTGCCCGTGTAAACATAAGCTCCAGTCAGAACTGTGCCTGATTCCTGGTACCCATACTACGGATCAGTGAACTTTTATAATACAGAAAAAGATCATCTTTCTGCTTAAGTACCAGCGAGGCAGCTGACTTTTACAGTGTTTATGGTAGCTTATAGCTTTCTGTCAGTGTGTGCTTTAAACATTTTTTATTATCCTTACTGTGTAATGTGGCATTTGAAAAACAAAACCATTATTCATGCTTCAGTAAAGCATTATTAAAGCTTTGCTGAATGTGGTCTCTGGTTCAGGATTCTCACACACACATACGAGCACACATACGTCACACAACACACTCTGAAAGTGAGCGCACTATAGATGGTGGTTGCTTGGTGTTATTATCTTGGTATGTACACTATGTGGGAAGCTGATTGTGAGGTTCAGCGTAGTTTGCAGACTTGTATACATTGGGAGGATGAGACAACATTGGACCAGGACAGAAGCATAAATATTCCGTGCTGCAAGGTTAATGAGAATCTGCAGTGAGGATGCAGGCAGCCAGTGCAGTACAAAGTACACAGGGATGTGTCATAATGCCTGGCTGCAACAGCACAGCTTACAGGCCTGCGCTACTCTCAGTTCATCTCTCTCACGTCATTCGTCTTTGCCTCCAATCGTTTCGCTGCTTATCAAACTCCGTGGCTCCTTCTTTCCCTCTGGTTCGCCCCCTTCCCCCCAGTTGCATGCCTTTTCTCACCCTCTCCCTCGCACGGCATGTCCTCCTTCGGCATGTTGTCTTTCTTTAAGACATGTCCAACCCCTGTGCACTTAAGAAGATAGTTTAGTATATGAAGCTTGCATCAATTTACTTATTTCGCTGTAACCATATTAAACGAGCACACCGAATAATAAAACAACGGCGAAACAGACACATCCACTGGAGATGCGAGAGGGGAAGAAAAGGCACTCGGTGGAAACATTCCAAGCTGTCGTAACATGTTAGGTGTGGGATGCAGGATTAGAGCTTTAATGGAGGGACGAATGTAGTCTCCTGCCATTGCAAAGATTTTCAAGCTGTGAACGTTCGTTACGTCAGCCGTGGGATGGACCCAACTAGTTATTCAGTCAGTTTCTACAATAAGTCATCCTCCAAACTGTATGTCCATCCGTCATTCCTTCATCTGGTCTTTGCTCCCTCCCGCCCTCTTCACTCTGTCACAATCTTCTCCCTCCATCTGTGGAGTAAAGGAGGCTGTTATTTCACCAGTGCTGGCTGGCCATTCAGTCTTTTTTCACTTTTCCATCACTGCTAATGTCCTAGTCACGGTCTCTATCAGAGAAAACCTATTCTTATTCTTTAGGGTTGTTACCCTCCTAAAATCTTCATTTTTAGTTCAGAGCGGAATTTTCCCATTTAGCGTGATCGATACTGAAACTGTATCTAATATATAAAAAATGAGTCTTTGGAGTCACCTGCAGGTATGTCTGAATGATTTAGCTGTGTAATTTGTCAGTAAATACTCCACTTTCCTTTATTAAAAGTGCTTGTGGCAAGAAGGATCCTGATACAGGCAGTTTTGGTGGATATCGGGTATTATGGTTGCAGTAAAACAGTTGAACAGCTACAGTATTAGGACCCAGTCAGGACCTGACGTGCCTTATTTAACAACTCGCACAACTGCCAGTCATTAGAAAGACATTATAAACTCCACTTCGATGACTCTGCCTGTGCCAGTTTGGAAATGTAATAAAGATGGAAGAAAATTAATAAAAAATAGTAAAAAAAAGTAAGTAGTAGTAAAAGCTGAAAAGACATCTACTTGTTCAAGAGCGCATGCTGCTGTATGTACTGTATCCAGTTGTCTGGTTCTCTGTGTGTTTTCTAAATCATTCATCATGTGCATGTGCAAACATAATTATTACAATGTGCAGTAGTTAGGGAAATTGCAGTGTACAGCGTGAAGGTCACGTAGAGCAGTAAATTCTGTGTGCTCAAACAATCTGAGTGGGGACTAGGGCTGGGCCATATTATACCGTTCACGGTAATACCGGTATAATGTTAGGCAACGATAGGAAAATGAAATATCGCGATAGAATAGTAAAACGCGCATGCGCAGTGCCTTTGTTTTCATACGCACATGGCCGATTGTTGAGTGAAACAGATGAACCAGAATTGGTTTGTAAAAATGGTGCAACTTCAGTGATGTGGAACTGGTTTGGTGTTTGTCCGTCAGATACACGACAAAGCACATTTTTTTGCAGAACATGCAAGCGGCCGTCGGACTAAGATGCTCTTAAATCTGGGAGTAATCTGGGTCCTAAACTCCGTATGCTTCAGGTCAAACGAACACTGCAGCATCACTAAGAGTTAAACACTGTCTAAATTCTTTCATCTTTAATAAAACGATCAGCATTGCTGCTTTACCAGGTGTAACTATGAAGTTTAACTTCCAGGCATCCATGAAAACAAAATGTATTACATTTAACGGAGTTAGAAGCTAGCAGGAAGCTAGCGGAAGTTAGCTCGCTAGTTTCGCTAGTTACCTAAGCATGATATAGCATGTTCTGACTGAGAGATTTCTGAAAAAAATCAAACGTACAGCTCTGCTATCACTTCCAACATAAATGAAGACAGGAAACTAAACAGCAGTGACGTTTGTAGGGTTACTGAAGTTGGGCTAGCTGGTATATAATTATGTGCTACGTGATCGCTAGCGACACAGCTATGTTAGCATAACATAAACAGTGAAGCTGGAGGACAAACACTAACACTTTTCCACTTATAAAAGTTAACGTTAAGGTTCCTCGTGGTTAGAGACAAATGCAATCGCATGGCAGGATGCTGTAAAAGGACCAATCTTCAGTCAGGAGAACAACTGAGATAATCCATCCACAATACGAGGTTAGTCATTAATATACTGCAACAACATGGGAATAGAGCAGCTGCCAGAGAATTCAACATTAATGAATCAATGGTACAGAAGTGGAGGAAGCAAGAAGAATGAGTTTAATAAAGTTTGATTTATCTGACTGCTTTGTTTCGCTTAATGTGCCTTATAATCCCGTGCACCTTATGGTCCGAAAAATACGTACTGCACACTGCAGTTTAATGTTGCAAAGCACCTCTTTTTAACTTCAGTGGATATTATACATGGTTATGCTCAGGATGTGTCAGCCCATTTCTACTGGAAATGCCTTTTGGTTAAACTTTCAGCAAGGAATTTGCATTTGCACTGTTACATTTTTATAAAGCTTTAATGTACATAAAAACCAGCTTCTTGTTTAAGTGCAAATAAATGGATGGGGGTTTTTTTGCACTAGTAAAGTTGTGGAGTTGTATTTTGTCTCGCATCAATTATATCGTCAGTTATATCGTTATCGCAAATTTTCAAATATATATCGTGATAAATAGTTTTGGCCATATCGCCCTGCTCTAGTGGGGACCAACCAAAGGGAAGCTTGTGCACTTTTTACACATGTGAAAGTAACTACTGATCTTTCATACATTCACATCAGCAGTGTTGGTCAAGTTACTTGAAATAGGAATTAGTTACTAATTACTTTTCTAAGAGAGTAATCCCATTACTTTACTGATTACTTATTTTCAAAATGAATTAGTTAATTTATTACTT